GCGGGAGAGGATCATCCGGGAGGAGAAGAGGCGGATCCTGGCGCCCCTCGGCAGCCTGCCGCCCTCGCCCGCCGCCCGCCTCGCCCCCCGGGCCGCCGCCGCCACCACCGCTACCACCACCACCGGGCCCCGGCCCCATGGCGGGGGCAAGGCCCGGGCGGCGGGGGGTGCCAAAGCCAAGAGCCACTCGCTGGACTCGCTGCAGAAGCGGCGTGAGGGCAGCTGGGGCAAGACCTCCTCCGAGTCGGGGGCCTCCTCCTCCTACAGCGGGGAGAGCCTGAGGGGCAAAGGGGGCAGCCGGGGCCGGGGGGGAACCGCCACCCTCCCCGCCGGCTCCCTTCTGGGGCGCAGCTTCAGCCTGGGCGACCTCAGCCACTCGCCGCAGACAGCCCAGAAGGTGGAGAGGATCGTCAAGGAGGTGAAGAGGAAGAAGGGTCTGTCCGAGGTGCCCGAGAGGGACAAGAAGATCGCGGCGCTGATGATCGCCAAGCACCAGGAGGCCAACCTCTTGCGGGAGCAGAGGCAAGCGGCCCACCTGCAGTGGGACAGCCAGCGGCGGCTGGCGGAGCAGAGGAAGGAGCAGGAGGAGAAGGAGAAGCAGAGGGCCCTCCTGCAGGGCCAGCGGATGTGGGAGAGCCAGGTGGAGAAGCGGCGGGGGAGGCTGAGCCAGGAGCAGGAGGAGGCCACCCTGCTGAAGCAGAGGCAGCGCCTGGTGTGCGAGGAGAGGTGGCGGGAGCAAGCGGAGAAGCAGGAGCGGCTGCGGAGGGAGAAGCTGGAGAGGGCCATCCAGGAGGACAAGCAGAAGAAGCTCCATCAAGAGCACAATCTGAAGGCGAAGGAGGAGGGCAAGAAGGAGCACCGGGAGCGAGAGGAACAGCTCCTGCAGGAGAAGCTGTCCACGGCCGCGCAGAAGAGGCTGAAGAAGGAGGTGCAGCTTCAGAAGGAGAAGAAACTGCTCAACCAAGCGGAGAAGCTGAAGCACGAGGCCTTGCTCAAGGAACTGGCCAAGCAAGAGGCAGAAGAGAAGGAGATGCTGAAGGCCTCCCTGGAGATGAGTTTGACCAAGGCTCAGGAGAACTATGAGCAGCTAGTGGAGAAGAGGAACCAAGAGCTGAGGGAGAAGGCCAGGCGGGAGGACATGCAGATCCAGCGAGCCAAACTGGCAGCAGAGAAGAAGGAAAGAGAGCAGAAGGAGCACTTGGAGGCCCTGGCTAGAGAGACAGAGAGAAAGCTCCAGCATGCTGCCCAGGTAGCTGAGGAAGCTGTCCAAGAAAAGGCCCGCAGGGTGGTCTTGAGCCGTCTGGAGAAGGAGAAAGTGCAGAAGATGAACAAGCAAAAGGTGGAACAGTACGAGGACTTACGGCGCAGGGAGATCCTCCTCTCTATAGAGAGGAAGCTGGAGAGGAGCGAGCAGATCTTCAAGGAGAAGAAGACTGTCTTAGAAAACGCTAGGTCTGTCGCCCGGGCGTCCTTCCATGTCCGAGAAAAGGTCCGGGAGGAGACGAACACGCGTACTTTTGACAAGATGGCCTTGGAAGCAGAACTGCATGCCCAACTGAATAAGAAATGAAACATCTTGTAATGAATGAGTGGGGATACATCACCAGTTGTTTTTCATAATGCATCGGAAAGTTCCTCCGCATTAACATTTAAAAAACAACAACCACCCTAAATTCTTATTTTGGGGGAACAGGGTACCGCACAAAAACGTGGCAGCTATTTCACATACTTTTTAAATATGTTTTTGTTCTGGGTGTGTTTTAAGGACTGACTTCAGTCATCTTTACAGAGGGGAAGCAAGCTTTTGTGTCCTCCACCCCACAAGCACACACATTTTTCTCAGAGGGCTGCAGAAGAAGTCTGCTTGAAGCCTGTGAGGTACCTATCAATCGTCTACACTGGAGCTGACCACAGCTGCTCTCTTTTCAGCTGGAAATGCAGACAACAGAGACTACTGACCACTAGAGCCTACTGACTAAGAACCAAAACCACCCCAGCTGAGCCTGCCTTGAGTGACAGGCAGCTTGGTTTAAGTTACAGGACTGCATTTTCAAAGCTGCTGCACTCCCACGCCGAAGGTGAGGAGGGCTGGAGTACAGAATGCCATTTGCCCCTGGGTGTCCCTCATGCATCGGAAAGTTCCTCCGCATTAACATTTGAAAAACCAACAACGACCACCCTAAATTCTTATTTTGGGGGAACAGGGTACCGCACAAAAACGTGGCAGCTATTTCACATACTTTTTAAATATGTTTTTGTTCTGGGTGTATTTTAAGGACCGACTTCAGTCATCTTTACAGAGGGGAAGCGAGCATTTGTGTCGTCCACCCCACAAGCACACACATTTTTCTCAGAGGGCTGCAGAAGAAGTCTGCTTGAAGCCTGTGAGGTACCTATCAATCGTCTACACTGGAGCTGACCACAGCTGCTCTCTTTTCAGCTGGAAATGCAGACAACAGAGACTACTGACCACTAGAGCCTACTGACTAAGAACCAAAACCACCCCAGCTGAGCCTGCCTTGAGTGACAGGCAGCTTGGTTTAAGTTATGGGACTGCATTTTCAAAGCTGCTGCACTCCCACGCCGAAGGTGAGGAGGGCTGGAGTAGAGAATGCCATGTGCCCCTGGGTGCCCCTCGCCCACTGCTGGTACTGAGCAAGAGAAAGCACAGATCAAGACTTTGTAACACCACGTAAGTAGACGTTATGATCAGAGCTGGGCTGAAGCTGTTAGAAGTGCTCACAAACACAGTTTCCTTTTGGAGGAGGGGGAGATGGAGAGAAGTTTGTGGACAAACACAGTTTCCTTTTGGAGGAGGGGGAGGAGAGAAGTTTGTGGGTACTTTTTAAATATGTTTTTGTTCTGGGTGTATTTTAAGGACCGACTTCAGTCATCTTTACAGAGGGGAAGCGAGCATTTGTGTCGTCCACCCCACAAGCACACACATTTTTCTCAGAGGGCTGCAGAAGAAGTCTGCTTGAAGCCTGTGAGGTACCTATCAATCGTCTACACTGGAGCTGACCACAGCTGCTCTCTTTTCAGCTGGAAATGCAGACAACAGAGACTACTGACCACTAGAGCCTACTGACTAAGAACCAAAACCACCCCAGCTGAGCCTGCCTTGAGTGACAGGCAGCTTGGTTTAAGTTACAGGACTGCATTTTCAAAGCTGCTGCACTCCCACGCCGAAGGTGAGGAGGGCTGGAGTAGAGAATGCCATGTGCCCCTGGGTGCCCCTCGCCCACTGCTGGTACTGAGCAAGAGAAAGCACAGATCAAGACTTTGTAACACCACGTAAGTAGACGTTATGATCAGAGCTGGGCTGAAGCTGTTAGAAGTGCTCACAAACACAGTTTCCTTTTGGAGGAGGGGGAGGAGAGAAGTTTGTGGGCAGTCCACAAACTGACGGGCACCCACACAACCTGCTTGTTCATTAAGATATAAAAATGAGCGAGCCTGTGGAATCTGGCCTTTATGGCAAACACATGGATCATTTGTAAATACAAATCTGCAAACAGGTTGCATAGAGAAATTGCCACCCTTGGAAATTCTCTAAACTTGAGGAGACCCTCAGCAACCTTATCCAACTTGGCCTGCCTTGAGCAGGAAGTTGGACCAGGTGTCCTCCAGAGGTCCCTTCCAACCTAACAGTTCTATGAGCTGTATACAATGAGACATTCACCCAGCTCTTATCATTGTCTACTGAGCAGGGCAGCATTTATCTGTCCACTGGTGCTAACAGTTGTATTCTTACATAGGGCACAAGAAAGAGTAAATGCACAAAATAAGGTACGTTACAGATTCTCTTAGATGAGGATCATGGCTTTTTTTTAACTCAATACCATTTAGAGGGAACTGAGTCCTTCTACCATTAATGCACTGGAAATGTGAAAAACCTACCTATGGCCCATGCACGGCATTCAAGTAAGACAGTGTTCTGCTCCAGGTTTCCATATTTGCTCTCCACTGGGTTGCAGCTACAAGCACACATCCAAACCAGGCGTTTTCTGCTGTTTTTTCCTGGCTCTGGGCAGCGCCAGCTCTTTGTTCCACCATCCATGATGCCATGCTGGGTTGCTGTGGTGATGGCATCGGACCTGGAACATGGGGGAGAAGCAGCAAGAACAGCCAGGATCTTGTTTCCTTGCGGATGTCTCTGGCAAACAATACAGTAGAAGAGAAAACCAGAAGAAGGTTGACATACGGCACAGACATGCAGTCCTGCATGCATAGATTGCTTACCAGAATTTCCCAGGAGGTGACAGCAGGTCAGAAACCTCTTAGAAGGATTTAAGGAAGGTGTTAAATGAACAGCAGCAGCAACAGTAGACCAAGCACACCCTGGTGCACTGCAACGCTGGAGAAGTTGTACAAACAATGTCAAAAATGAATCAAGTAGGGATTTTCTTTGATTTTGATGTACTGTGATTCGAAGAAGAGTAAGTTCCAATTGGTGCTGTTGAGGGCAGGCAGCACGAAAGTAGGAATTAGGGCACCTGAGCTATGTTTGTTCCATCAGTCACTGGCTCGCTGGGTAACTCCAGGCAAGTCCTCAGGGGCTGGCCTTGCTCCTATTGATAGAAACAGAAGCAGAGTCAGGCTCTTGGGATTGCTGGGACTTGCAGGAAATAGCAACACTCGGCTCGGCAAAATGCTTCAGAGACTCTGGACAAATGATGCTAACAAAGCACAAAGTACTATTTTATTATTTTTATTTATTTATTTATTTGAGTGGTTATTAAAGTGAAACATATCCGTTGGTGAAAAGCACTAATTAACACCAAGATCTAAAAATATTGGTAGCTGTGGGGAAGGCAGCTGTGTTACCGTTTCCAGCTGGGAGTCTGTCCCCTCACCCTCGACCTCAAAACAGCAATCGGTTTGACCGGTGAAACCAATACTGCTGTAAGATTGGACAAGGTCCTTGATAAAAAACAGGCTTCTTCATGTGTTGTTTGTACAGCAGTGGTCCACATGTGCCCTTGTAGCTGCAAAAACCTTGAAAAGAGATGCCCCGTGGCCCAAATCCAACCTGCACAAAACTTCTCTTGCTCCCTGGCAGCACTGGAGTTGGGATAAAACCTGCAGTGACTCCAGAAAAGCCAACATTTCATCTTTTTTGCAGCCTTCAGGGCTGCAGGGAAAGCCTGCCAGCATGGATGTGAGGGCTCTCGCTCCCCACGTCATCACGCTGTGGTTGAAGTTCACTGCTTGATCCATTTAGCAGAGGGCAAAGGGGAGAGCTGGGAAACAGGGGAAAGCAGGCAAAATGTGGTGGGTGAATAAGCAGATACAATCCTTAACTGGAACAACAGTTTTTCCTTAAAGGTCTACTGCAATGTGAGGGGCTTGTCCAAACCTCCCTCTGATGGGGCGTTTCCAGTGTAGACTGAGAAGGTTTTGCAGCCCAGGAGACTTGGTCACTGACTGTAATTACACCTGGGGTCTGTCTCCTGCTGCTGACCATGTTTGACACATTGGGGTTACTGCTGAACTAATCAAAACACCTCCGTGGTGGTAATTGGATTGGCAAACTACTGTTCCTATACTGTGAAGTGTGCAGCTCAAGTTTTGAATGTGCAACCTAAGAAAAAGATATTTTTTTTCAAAAGACATTAATCTGTGTATGGATATTTTTTTATTTCTATACTGGTTCTAGTCCAAATTCTGTGAAAGTCAATGGAGTTTTTAAGTTGTTTAAAATTGCACTGTGGAAAATTAAGTCAGCATGTTGGGTGGATGCGTGAAAGGTATTTCTTGGATCTGCTTATGCTTCTGTTTATTTGAGAAGTTTTACTGCTGGATTTCCATGGGAATAGAAATTAAACTCTGGGACACAAGTAAAAAGTATGGGCCTTTTAGATGAGGCTGATTTTGGTGCTGAGCTGTGGGCCAGGGAGTACTAAAAATCAAAGCAAGCAACGTGTTACCTCACAGCTCAGAAGTAGAACAAGGCTTATTTAGAGCAGAGAAGCTGCTGATGACATTTGGTTAGGTCCTGCAGAAAGATAACTTAGGTTGGGCCTCTCCTGGGTCTAGAAAACACATCTTAGGATATTGCTGTATTGTAAGGTTATATAATAAAGAATTTGCTTCTAGGCCATTTGAATGCATGCTGCAGAATGACCTCTAGACCTTGAAATACCCGTACTTTAAAAGCAACACCGACAAAAGAACAATTAGCAGGAAAACTTCTGTGAGTGATAACACACCTTAGATCCAGCCAGCATCGAATTCCCAGGTTTCAGTTCCTAAACACCTGGGATCCTAGCTCCAGGTGCCACCTTGTATCCCATAGATCTAATGGGACAACCCAAGATCTGCATCCGATACCACTAAGCATTCAAATTGAAGGCCAAACACTGACATGTGGACACACCTCTAACCCCACTTGAAAACCACTGCACTGCTTACTGCTGAAACCCCCACAGGGTTTCTGAAGTTGAGATATTGAAACGTTAGGGAGAAAGACTCCAATATAATTTAAATGTACTAAAAAGAATTACAAGACCAACTCCTGGGATTCATTTTCAGGTAAAACTGCCATCGGCATATGCTAATGTTTTGCGTAGTGAGATAACATGATCAAGCACACAGTATGGGGAAAGAAGAGTCCATCACACTGTTGGCTGTGGCAGAATAAGACAAGTAATTTCAGAGGCCCCAGAGCTTTGCAGCCTGGTTTCCTTGGGCGGGTGCCCTGTGACTCTCACTTCACTGAAACCAAGGCTGCAGGAGGAGTTCACGTGGTATTAGACATCAGAGAGCTCACACACGGGGGAGAAGCATTGACTAAAGAGCAGTTTCTTTTGCCTGAGCACTGGATGAATCTTTCACCCATTTTGAGACTTCAGAGACCATGTTGTTCATATGGATTTTCTGGTTTTTAACAGTATCTGGGCTAAAGCTGGAGCCCTTCAGTGCCAGCGAGAGCGCCAGCGGTCTCTTCTGCACTCTGCCTCTTCACACACAATTCATCTTTAAAACGATCTCTCTGTTAAGGTTGAATTTGGCAGGCACGTTCAAAAGCTATTAGGAAGAGCAGCTGCACCATCACTAGTTAATATTTTAGAAGGTATTTTTTTAACCCAGTTTATCATAAATCCTTTTGCTGCATAGAT